GACCTCCTCAGTGATGAAATCTCGGCTTCTAATGACTTTCATTTGAAGCTTGAAGAAGAAAATAAATGTGAACAGAAAATACAATAACATAAAGATTGGCCATGCAAGAGAATTCCTTCTCGGCTATCTTCAATAGTTCATTTATCTCTCACTGCGTGCCCACCATTCAGAGAAAGAAAACTATAGATTGCAACTTCTTCAGGTTCAGTGCTTCCGGCTTCTTACCTCTTGTTTACAGGGGCAGAAGAGAATTTAAGTGGCTGAGCAACCGCCTCTGGTAGACAAATGTTTATATAGACTATCTGAAAATTATTCACATTATGAGCTATCACTGGTAGATTTCAGACCTCAGAAAGGCTTTTCCCTGCTCTTGGCCGGCCTCCTCCCTTCCCCCCTCCCCGATTTATGGTGATGAGCTTAAAAAGAGAGAGAGATAGCTTCTAATATAACTCAATTATATTAGAAAAAAAGTCCTCAAGACAAATTTGCTCAAGTCATAAGGCAATTCAACCGGTAGATAAGATTTGCATGGCAGTTCTCTCTCCTTTCCCTGATCAATTGTCATTGTAATTGTGCAGAGCCTGAGCAAGTCCAAGCGGGGGAGAGGGTGAGGCTAGCCACCTTCTATGAGCTTGCCCAGGGTAGGAGGAGCTGAAAAACATAGGTACTTTGGGTGACAGTCTCTTATGTCCCCCAAATTATTACCATCTTCTGCTTGTAGAACAGGGGCTGCTTGTCTGACAATCCTCTTGCTCACTCCTGCTTATCCCAGTCCCCTGCCAAACACATCATGTCCCTGTCCTTAAACACAAGCCCCCACCTGTCCCGTGAATTCTCACTGGCCTGGCGGCTGGTTGACTGTGCTGGAAAGAACTCTTAAGGTGGCATAAAACTCGGATTTGGGTCTGACTTCTGTCACTCACTACCTGGATGACTGAAAAGAATCCAGTTGTTTGTGATTTATTTCTTCATCTGCAGAATGGGAGATAATCCATGTTCTGCCCAGCTCATGAGGTTGTGAGAAATAAGTGAAGCAATGTTCTGTGTGTGTGTGTGTGTGTGTGTGTGTGTGTGTGTGTGTGCGCGCGCGCGCGCGTGTGCTTTGCGGATGCCAAGAACTGTCAAATGGAAAGGAGAATGGGGATGCTGAGTTACTGAGAATATATGCTCTATCAGTTTTTAGGGCACTCGGACTATAGATGTGGGACACTTCTGTGCCTCTGTTCATTTCTGCAGTAGAGAATGACTGGTTTTTCATCAGATTGTGTTCCTTTTCTCCTGGGCACACAGCAAGACTACATTTTCCATCCTCCCTTGCTCTCAGATGTAGCTATCTAAGTAAATTCTGGCCAGTGGAATACAGAAGGAAGTGATATATACTACTTCTGGGCTTGACCCTTAAATATTTCTTAGCACAACGCTCTATTCTCAGTTACTGGTGCTCTTGGAGTCTTAGTAAATTTTTTATGCTATTCCTTGGTCAAAGAAATATGTAACAGTTCCAGTTATACAATGGCTAGGCCCAAAAAACTTAATAAGTATTTATGTCTTAATAACTTCATGATGTTGAAAGAAATAGTACACATGAATTCCAAGCCAAATACTATTTTATTTAATTCTTAAATAACCACAATGACTTACTAATGGGCACTGTATATCTTCTTACACCTGGGAATCAGATTGGACGTAGCCACTCTCATTTCCTGTTGCACATTGATTCTCATGAGGTACTTGATATTTATCATAGCAATGGCTGAAAACCCAGATTCAAAAAGGAATAGCCTTATCAGTGACATCAGCATCATGGTGTCCTAAGCCATTTCCCCTTTTTTATCCTCCCCTTTTAACAACAAAAAAGACATCCCTCTACAAACAAAAGTGCCTTTGTGGGTGTTAGCACCATAAGCCCAGGAATGTGGGAGGAGTCACATGCACCTGTGCATTCAATAACAAGCAGACAGACCTTAGTATAGATAGGCTGCAGAATCAGGGCAGTAGGCAAAACTACCCAGACCCCTCTTGCTGCAGTCAGGACAAAATGAGAAGAGTACTGACCTGGGCAAGAGAGAGAATTGGCAGAAATCCAGCCATCCAAAGGTACTGCGAAACAACATGAGTTTCATCACAGCAAAGTGTTGATAAAGGAAAGTTTACCAGACCCTCTCACCCCCTCACTCCCTCACCCCAAGGCAACCCTGCCCAGGGTTGATTTATTGGGTGGTGGTGACCTCTCCTATAAGGGAAAAGGATAGCTGTAAGTGCCTGGTGACCCCAGTTGTGCTGGTCATGGCTAGCGAAACCCACTTCTCTCCAGCAACACCCAGAATACTGACTGAAGCAGGAACTCAGGTGGTGGGTGGGGGGTGATGACTGGAAATGAGGCAGATAAGACATGGCTCCCACTGACTATGCTGGGCAGAAAGCCCACCTACGAGCCTCTGGTAGTACCATGCCAGTGGATCTCCCAGTGGGGTCAGTGGGGCCTGTGGGTACTCCAACACCTCAAATGCTAAACCCACGCCTTCCCCTACTCTGTGGTTAACTCCTTGTGCCTGCTCCCATATGTGGCAGTGAGAGTTTTGGTAGACAAAGAGCATGCTCAGAAAACAGGCAAGGGAGAAACCACAACTTTGAGCTATAGTGCCACCTTCTGGAAAGCAAAGAGGATTCCAGTAACCAGCCTGGTGACTTGTGCAAACCAGAGAGACATAAAAGTTTAAGAATCCTGCCACAACAGGAGGCAAGAGGAGTGGGGCAGGTGTACCCATACAAATATAAAACCCCAGGTAATAACAGCATGGACTAGAATGCCCTGTCAGAAGGTAACTAGCAAAGATTCAAGGAGCTGTCTTCTACAATTCTTTTGCATTTGAAGTAGAAAAACTGTAAGATACATGAAAAATCAATGAAATATGCCATCACAAAAAGAAAATAACATTCTCCAAAGCTGAGCATGAAGCCACAGAGTTTTATGATCTAGCTTATAAAGAATTCAAAATATCTATTTTTGAAGAAACTCAATGAACTACAAGAAAACTCAGAATGGTAATTCAATGAAATCTTGAAACAGTACATCACCAAATGGGATTTTTTTTTCTGAAGATATATAAATCATAAAAAAAGAACCAAACAGAGATTCTGGAGCTGAAGAACTCAATTAGTGAAATAAAAATATGCAATACAGAGTATCTTCAAAGAGTAGAGTAAATGGAAGAGAGAATTAGTGAGTTAGAAGATAAGAATTTTGAAATAACCCAAATAGACGAGAACAAAGAAAAAAGAATGAGAAAGAGCAAAGAAAACCTACATGATCTACAAGATTCCATCAAAAGAACAAATATTTCATGGGGCGCCTGGGTGGCTCAGTCAGCTGAACGTCTGACTTTGGCTGAGGCCATGATCTCATGGTTTGTGGGTTCGAGCCCCACATCAGGCCCTGTGCTGATATCTCAGAGCCTGGGGCCTGTTTCAGATTCTGTGTCTCCCTCTCTCTGCCCCTCCCCTAATCATGCTCTGTCTCTGTCTCAAAAACAAACATAAAAATTAAAAAAAAATAACAAATATTTGAATAATCGGTCTTATGAAAGGAGAACAAAGAGAGAAGGGAGCAGGCCATTTATTTAAAGAAATAATATCTGAGGACTTCCCAAACCTGGGAAAAGAGCTGTATATCTGACTTTACAAAGCTAATAGATTGCCCTATTATCTTAACACAAAACGACTTTCTCCAAGACATTACAATGAAACTGTCAAAAATAAGAAATAAAGAGTTTCAAAAGCAGCCAGGCATCACACTTTCTGATTTCAAGCAATGCTACAAACTTATAGTAATTAAAATAGTATGGTACAGCATAAAAATAGACACATAGACCAATGGAACAGAATCAAGAGCCCAGAAATAAATCCCTGCACATCTGATCATCTAATATTTGACAAGGGACCCAAGAACAGTCAATGAGGAAAGGACAGTCTCTTCAATAAATTGTGTTGAGAAAACAGGTCAGCCACATGAAGGAAAATAAAATTGGACCCCTATGTTACACCACTCATGAAAATTAACTAGTGATGGGTTAAAGACTTAGCATAAGACCTGATATTGTAATACTCCTAGAAGAAATCATAGGGAAGAAACTCCTTGACATTGGACCAGGCAGTGACTTTTTGCATATGATGCCAAAAGCTCAAGCAACCAATGCAAAAATCAACAAATAGAACTACATCAAACTAAAAAGCTTCTGCATAGCAAAAGAAAAAAATTTCAAAGTGAAAACACAACCTCCATAATGGAGAAAATACTTGCAAATATTCTGAAAAGATATCAGATCAGAGGTTAATATCCAAACCTGTAAAGAACCCATACAACTCAATAACAACAAACAAACAAACAATCCAATTAAAAAATGAGCAGAGGAACTAAATAGACGTTTTTCCAAAGATGACATTCAAATGGCCAGCAGGTACATGCAAACATGCTAAGCTTCACTAATCAGGGAGATGAAAAGCAGGACCACAATGAGATGTCATCTCACACTTGTTAGAATGGCTATCATCAAGAAGAAAAGAGATCAGTGTTGGTGAGGACGTGGGGAAAAGAGAACCCTTGTTGGGTTGATGGGAATGTAAATTGGTTCAGCAACTATAGACAACAATATGGAAGTTCCGTAAAAAATAAAAAAAATAGAACTACTATATGGTTCAGCAATTCCAATTCTGGATATACAGCCAAAGGAAATGAAAACAGAAGTTCAAAGATAAATATGCACTCCCTTGTTTATTGCAGCATTATTCACAACAGCCAAATTGTGGAAAGAACCTAAGTGACTGCCAATAGATGAGTGGATAAAGAAGTTGTGAGATATATGTAGAGACATATAGATACAGATATCTATACAGAGATATATACAGATATAGATATAGGTATATATAGGTATAGATATAGATATCTGTATATAGGCATATATAGATATACACACATAATGGAATATTAATCAGCCACAAGTAAGAATGAAATCCTGCCATTTGCAATAGTACGGATGGACTTTGGGGGCATTATGCTAAGTGAGATAAGTCAGACGGAGAAAAACACATATTGTATGGTATCACTTGTTTGTGGAATCTAAAAAAAAAAACTGAACTTGCAAAAGAAAATTAGAATGGTGCTTACCAGGGACTGGAGTGGAGGGATTGGGGAGATGTTGTTTAAGGGCACAAACTGGGGAACCAGTAGATAAAGAAGTCCTGGAGAGTTAATGCATAGCATAGTGATTATAGTCAATGATACCCTGTTATAAACTTCAAAGTTGCTAAGAGATTAGATCTTAACTGTTCCCACCACAAAAAATAATTATGTGGTGTGATAGAAGTGTCAGCTAACACTAACAGCTGTAATCAGATTGCAATATGCAAATGTATCAAATCAAGATGTTGTACATCTTAACCTCACACAATGTTATATGTCAATCATATTCAGTAAAATAATGTAGCATTGTAGAAATGAGGGTAGCCTGATATAATGATCAAATTGCAACCACCTTGAGCCAGTGGTTTTTGCAGTGTCCAGAAGATGCTGATTTTTGCTGGGTTTCCTCCAACATTTTCAAAGAGCTTGTGACACCCCTGTGAATTCACCGTAGCACACCAGTTGTGTTTGTGCACAGTCTGGAAACCACGGCTCTCTTACTTTCCTCCACCTGCCAGTCGAACGGGGTGAGCTTTGAAGATGTAGCGGATGGTGACAACAAGGTGGAGGCTGGATCCCAAAGTCTCCCTCCACTGAAGGAGAGACACCCAGGAGAAAGGCTTAACAAGGAATTCCTATTTTTAGCTTAGAGAAAGAATGAGATTTAATTTCTTCTCACATGCCACTGATTTTTTTTAAATTTTTTTGTTTGTAATGGTAGTGGGTAAATACCGCCTCATGCAACCTCCAAATTCATGAAATATCACTAGGGCTACTGTTAGAAATCCAAACTTTGCTTTGCATCGAATGGCTCTCTCCCATGGGGAATGAACATCATACTACTCCGTCTCTAGCCTTTGTGACTTGGTTTATCTATAATGCCCTGAGGAAACACAGACAATATTCTGAGGAAGGGGGTCTTTTTCAAGAGATAGGTGTTCTCTGAGTCAAAGCAATATTTATAAAGTGAGCAAGAGTATTCCTCAGTGATCACATAATCAACCACAATGCAAATGTTCTTGGGGGCTTTGGGGATGTTTGTTTTCCAAGAGAATACAGTATTGTTAGAAAATAAACAGGAGAGAGTTGGTCTGGCCTTTGCCCATTCTCATGGACACGCACTCCAAGTGGTAAGATGTAAAATGCAGCTTCATGAGAGCTGCACTGAAGCAGATTTGTAGCCCAAGATCCTTTCCCTGAAGGAATAACACACTCACTTGTAGAGCATCAGTGTGTGAGGCCAGTGTACAGGGCTCTGTGCTGGGACCTGAGGGACCATTTCCTCTTTCCACATTTTCACTTTAGCCTTATTTCCTGACCTACTTAGAGAAGACAGTAGTTCAAAGATCAGGTAAACATTTCTGGGAAATTTTCTATTTGATCATAATCTTATTTGTAACATCTCTGAAATTCCACCTTCCCCCGGGGCCCCCCCCCCCCGCATCTTCACCGGTTTTCCTGTGAAACACAGAGCTGAAAGGGAGGGGCTCTCCTCCTCATGAATAATTAAATGTCACCATGCTTCTGGAACCCTCTTAGCACACGCATGTCTGCATCAACTTGATGGTTTAGGCGAAGTGCTGGGGATCTTTGATTCCACGTATTTAGTTAGCCCAGATTTTTTCTTTTCACTGGTTGGCCAACTTTCTTTACACTCAGACTTCTTACTGGCTAAACAAAGGTACCATGCTGTTGGTTGTGGATAGAAAAATTGGGAATGGAGCTTCCTTGGCCCCATGACTTTCAGAAAATATTCCAGAGAATGTGTGGTTCTCTGAAAGCGTTTTCACGAAGAGCAGTCTGAGAAGCCTGTCCTCCACTGATTGTCACATCATCAAAAATCTGTCTCCAGTGTGAGCCTCCCAATAAAATTGTGAGATGTGTATAATGTACATTGTGGTGATATGATATTTGACATAGCCACCCCAGACCAGTACCACAAGCCTCTGCGTCAGCAGTGCTTGCGACGTGTCCTGGCTCATGTCTGTCTGTGGTTGTATCCAACAAGGGTGGGGAGCTGCTTTCTGGAACAGAAGAGGTAGGGCAGGAAGCTCCCTAGTCTTCTGCACACTCTCTGTCATGTACCTAAGTATGCGGTCTTCACAGCAGGCACTGAGGTTTTATTTTCTGAATTTTATTTTTCTTGCCATCAAATTGAATTACAAGATGGCAGGTAAGAAAGCGGGTGGCTGATGCTAAGGCTGGAAATACGATTGAGGAGAGAGTAGGATCCAGGATGTTCAGTGTGGAGATCATAAGGCTACCAGACGTATGTAGAGGGAAGTTGGGTCATTTTGGTTCTGTTCCTGGACAGTTAGGTGATCATAGTTATTTCACATCATTTTCCAGTTCCCCACTTGCAACAGATAAAGTGGATGAACTTATATTCCTTTTCTATATGACACATCATATGCTCAGCAGAATTTTGGTCCCTACAACTTTCACTGTCTGGTGAAATATGAATATGAAATATTCTTCATCCTTGAATATGCTGTGCTATTTGGCCAAGGGACTTTGCAGTTATAATTAAGCTATGAATCAGCTGACCTTAACATGGGAAATTACCCTGAATTAGTTAGATCCAATGTAGTCACATGAGCTCTGGGAAGCAGAACTTTCTCCCACCTCAGTGAGACATGTGAGACATGGGAGACATGTGAGAGATTCAATGCATGACAAGGATTTGAGGCACAGTCACTGGCTCAGAGATAGAAGGATCCATATCCTTGGAAAGTGTGAGAAGGAATTGAACTCAACCAACAACCAGTGAGCTTGGAAAAGGACACTGAATCCCAGATGTGAACTGCAGTCCAACCAACACCTTGATTTCAACCTTATGAGACCCTGAGCAGAGAATCCAGCCATGATGAGCAGCACTTCTGACCTATAGATGCTGAGGTAATCAATTTGTGTAGTTTAAGTCACGAAGTTTGTAGTAATTTGTTACAGCAGCAAGAGGAAACTAATACATATCATGAAATTATTTTGGGTCAAAGATTACAACAAAATGTTAAAAGGGAGTGTTGCCTCTCAGGTCGATGAGGAAAAGTCCATGAATGTGGGGGTGGGTGGAGGTGGAAACAAATACATACTATTCTGCTTTCCCATTTCTTCACTAAGGTCCAATAGACATTCATTGCGGTGTACAAAATGCTTTCCATATTTTCTTTCATGTGATGCTTATAATCACCTTGTAAATAATAATCTGCCTTCTAGTTAATAAATGGAGATTCTGAGAGTCCAGATAATTTGTCCAAGTTCCCACCACTAGAATTTGTGAGATTTGAGCCCAGATATTCCGACTATAGGCTCAGAACTGTTTCCTTTACTACATGAGGCCAACTCCTCAATCTGTGGGGGAGACCTAAATATTAGTTGACAGTCATGAAGATTAATAGAAGGTCACAAAAAAGGAACTATGTGATTTTTATTTTAATGAAGTATGACAAGTGCACCAGATCAAAGATCCTGAGATTCTTCAGCTTGTATGAAAATCTGGCTCTTTGTCAACAGCCAGAAGCTGAGGAAAACCCAGAATTCTTACTTCTCAGTTGCTGGCCTCCAACTGTTATTGCCATGGAAACATATCAGATGTACAAAAACAAGTTAAGTGCCTTAATATCATCACTACCCAATGGTTGGAACTTCCCGTGTTTCCAACTAGCTAACATCTATTTCCAGGGGGAAGACAGAAGAGAGCTGCCGTGACAGACTTAAAAGGATATGAACTTACTTCATCTCAGTGGTCAATTGCTGGCCAAGAATAGGAATTGTTGCTTGCTAATTGCCATTTAATTTTAGGCAAAAACTAAAAAGAAAAGGTGTCTGTGAACTCTGCTTCAGAGGATAATTAACGGGAATCTCTTACCTCTTTGTTGTTATTGGTCATTGTTATTGACTGCCATTATTTACGTATTGCTATAAATATCAAAGACCAATTTGTGTGTCCCAGACAATAGACACAGTAAGAGTTTTAAAAAATGGAATGATTGGGTGGCTCAGTCCGTTAAGTGTCTGACTTTGGCTCAGGTCGTGGTCTCAAGGTTTGTGAGTTCAAGCCCCGCATCGGGCTCTGTTGCGGACAGCTTGGAGCCTGGAGACTGTTTCGGATTCTGCATTCCCCTCAGTCTCTCTCTGCCCCTCCCTGTCTTGCCCCTCCTGGTTTATTTATTCTCAAAATTAAACATTAAAAAAAATGGAATGATTGCCACTGGCCAAAGAGATAAAAGAAGGCTTCCAGAGTAGGGAAATAGGAGGTTTCTCTATCAGTTGTCTTACAAATGCCATCAAAGACACACATAAAGCAGGTCCCATACCCTCCGTGGCTGCTCCTTTTCTATAGAGGGTTAGATCACTCCAGAGACACAATAGGAAGGCTAATCAGACAATATGTCTAGAAGGCTTTAGATGCTACCAATTGAATTTCTCTTAAGAAGCCTTGTAAACAAATACTGTGTCATTATAAGACCATTACAACATCTTGGGTGGGCTTTGGCTTTCTGCCCAGAGTTTGGGGGTTGAGGCAATCAGCAGTGTGATTACACCACTTTGTGGTCCATTGGCTCATCAAGCTGTTGAAGCCTTCATTATATCCATCAGTCAGCAGCAACTCTGGGGCACCCACTGTGTGCAGAGCACTGAGCACTATGGGGAACATTAGAGCAAAAGAAGGCACTGCTCCTGCTCCTGAAGAGTTTTATATTTATTGGGGCAGTCAGGAGCACATACATGAAAACATGTAAGAAAATAAATGACAGAAACCACCATTCCATCACACCAAAACAAAAACTCCAAACCACCATTTTGCTGACATAGTTAGCTGTGTTAGGTCAGTCTGAGTGATTGGATGACCGGAGTTAGATGGAATTAGAAATGGAGTCAGGTGGAAATGTGGAGATTTTGAATAAAAAGAAGGAGAAGGAGGAGGAAGAAGAAGGGAAGCAGCGGCATTCACAAAAGGAGCAGAGGTTAGCTTGTCAGGGGAGCCTCCGGGGTAAGAACAAGAGACAGACTGGATGAGGTCAACAAGGGTTGCTTAGATTAGAGCCATGAGCCCAGCTCTGGGGCTGAGGATGATTTGGTATCATGAGGAGGGTAAGTTGTGGAGCCCAGTATCCTGAAACTCAAAACTGAGTTTTCATTTGCTTTGAGAAAATCAAAAATGCCAGTATTTCTAAGGTTTCTGAGAAGAAGCCAGACTTCATAAAACAGAGCCAAGAATAGAAGCTGAACATAGAAAAGACACCATCTTCTGGATTCCTCAGTAGAAAGAACTTGAGTCCTAGCTCTTCTGTAAAGCCATCCATGGCTCATCTATTCCCTGAACGTTTACAGTACTCAGAGTTTATACCACGTAATTTAGCATTTGACTATTAGTTGTTTAGCCTGTTCAAATTATATGAAATCAATGTTGGAGCCATGGCTGACACAAATGTCATGCAGCCCAATGATTACTACTGTCAAGGTGTTTTCTAGAGGAAAGAAGGAGCTATGAAATATTTTTGTGGGGTTTTTGTTTTGTTTTGTTTTTTTGTTTTGGGGTTTTTTTTTTTAATTTTTGTTTTTAGATGAGGGAAAAACTTCAGCCTGAGCACCATGATTGCCTTGTTGCCTTGGGTGAGAAAATAAACATCTCAGGACCAAGGCTACCCATTAACTTGCATATAGAAGCAAAATAGCAATACTGGTATTTTATTTCTTTTGCTCAACAGTAGCATTTAAAAAATTAGACATGGTTGGGGCGCCTGGGTGGCGCAGTCGGTTAAGCGTCCGACTTCAGCCAGGTCACGATCTCGCGGTCCGTGAGTTCGAGCCCCGCGTCAGGCTCTGGGCTGATGGCTCAGAGCCTGGAGCCTGTTTCCGATTCTGTGTCTCCCTCTCTCTCTGCCCCTCCCCCGTTCATGCTCTGTCTCTCTCTGTCCCCAAAAAAATACATAAACGTTGAAAAAAATAAAAAATAAAAAAAAATAAAAAATAAAAAATTAGACATGGTCACCACTGTTTTCTGCTCCAATGCTAGGTTACCTGAGAAGAGCTAGGATCCAGAACCAAGATATCTTTGCCCTCTGTACTTGAGTCTTACCTGTGATGATGATTCAGAGAGAAAATAAATTATCCTAAAGAAGGGGGTATACACTATGTGCCTGGATCAGACCCTGAGGAGAGAGGATATAATGGAGAAGAGCAGAGTGGATTTGGTCAGACAGAAGGGAAATGGTAACATTCCAGAAGGTCTACCAAAGAGTCTGAGACTCACTCACCTCCCCTCCTTCAGCAGGTGTATTTGGACCCCCAAACAGTTCTAGTTGAAGTATAAACAACCAATAAACATATGGGAAAATGCTCAATTTCACCAAGGACCCAATAAATGGAATTTAAAACAGCACTGAGTTATGGGGCACTGGGTGGCTCAGTTGGTTAAGTGTCCGACTCTTGATTTTGCCTCATGTCATGATCTCGTGGTTCATAGATTGAGCCCCATGACAGTATCAAGTTATTTTTGAAAGGTTTTAAATGGGAAGGATATAGTGAAAATGCTTTCTAAACAATGACAGCCTTGTTTTATTTGAAATTTAACTCAGTGTTGAGTTCTCTAGGTACAGTTTGTAAGTCAGATTTCAGATTTTTAACATGTTACAAACATTACAGATATATATTTCCATATTGAAAAACAGCACAATAGACATGAACACTAAAATCTGACCACAATGACTACATCAGCAGACTCAACTAAAGTCTGGCACACCTAGAATGGGAAATCCTCATTAATACTCCCACTCTCTATGATAAAAACATCTGACATTCAAAAGAACTCCAAAAGCAAGCAAACAAACAAAACAAAAAGCAAGGAAACAAACAAACAAACAAGCATCCAACACTCACGCTGTGCCAAGCACTACACTAAATTTTGACAGGTATCATCTCGTTCAATTATCATAGCAAGTCCACAAAGTAGGTTCTTTTATGTTTCCTCTTTTCCCAGAAGAGGAAACTAGAATTTAGAAAAATTACGGTTGAACCATCTGAAATTGCAAATCGTTGACCATGTTTGACTTACAGATGTGGCAGCCTCATATGGTTGAACCTAATACTGTGCCTGAGATCACGAAGTGGGGAAATGGTGGGGGAGAAATTACAAAGGAATCTCACTCCAAAACTCCAGGGTCTTCACAAAAACAGACACTTAGATCAGTGGAACAGAATAGAGAACCTAGAAATGGACCCACAAACGTATGGCCAACTAATCTTTGACAAAACAGGAAAGAATATCCAATGAAATAAAGACAGACTCTTCAGCAAATGGTGTTGGGAGAACTAGACAGGGACATGTGGAAAAATGAACCTGGACCACTTTCTTACATCATACACAAAAATAAACTCAAAATGGATGAAAGACCTAAATGTAAGATAGGAAGCCATCAAAATCCTCGAGGAGAAACCAGGCAAAACCTCTTTGACCTTGGCTTCAGCAACTTCTTACTCAACATATCTCCAGAGGCCAGGGAAACAAAAGCAAAACTGAACTATTGGGACCTCGTCAAGATAAAAGGCCTCTGCATGGCGAAGGAAACAATCAGCAAAACTAAAAGGCAACCAACTGAATGGGAGAAGGTATTTGCAAATGACATATCAGATAAAGGGTTAGCATCCAAAATCTATAAAGAGCTTATCAAACTCAACACCAAAAAAATAAATAATCCCATGAAGAAATGAGCAAAAAACATGAATAGACACTTTTCTAGTTTCTACAACTAGAGGGTATTCTGCTCAGTGAAATTAGTCATTCAGAGAAAGACAAATGTCATAAGACTTCACTCATATGAGGACTTTAAGATACAAAACAGATGAACACAAGGGAAGAGAAGCAAAACTAATATAAAAACAGGGAGGGGGACAAAACAGAAGAGAGTCTTAAGTATAGAGAACAAACTGAGGGTTGCTGGAGGGGTTGTGGGTCGAAGGATGGGCTCAATGGGTAAGGGACATTAAGGAAGACAGTTGTTGGGATGAGCACTGAATGTTATACACAGGGGATGAATCACTGGATTCTACTCCTGAAATCACTATTGCACTAGATGTTAACTAACTTGGATGTAAACAAATAAATGAATAAATGAATAAATAAATAAATAAATAAATAAATAAGAAAGCACGCAAGCAAGCTTCAGGGTCTTAACCACTAGGCACACTGCCTATATTTAGCTAAAGGATGAGAGTGGGTATTCCTGATGTCAAGATTTTAATTAAATTGATAAGCCACTGAAGGCACATCACATCAGGACAGTTCAGAAAAATATATTTACATAAAGTCTACGGAGGCAAAGTGATTGACCATGGACTAACAACAGGGCTGGATTAAGTACACTTCTGACCATTTTGCTTCACATTTGCCACCAAATTGCTGCAGGTGACTTCCTCTCTGAATCTGATATTCCTCTTTAAATGACTATAATAACCCTGGTCGTCTCGAAGGATGCTTTGGAAGGATATGTGAGCTGAATGGACCAGGGGACAGGAGCTACTCAACATTTCCAACACGGAAAAGTCCAAGCAGTGGGGTTGCTTCCAAAAAGGTTGGCCTTACTGTGTGAGGGAGAGCATGGGGCCAGACTCCCATCAATATTCTGCAGGGTAGATGAGCACCATTTTCCATTTCCAGACTGTTTGCTCCTTCAGAGCTGGAGACCGACAATGATTCAAGAGTTCTGACTCATTTTGATGAGCTGGCTTGTCGTTAACATAAATCAGATGAAGTTGAAAGCTCACCTCAACATCCTGAGGCAACATTGGCTGTTGTCACTGGAAAAACTCCCGAGGCACTTGCTTTCATAACTGTTGTTACTAAGAAGAGGTTCAAAGAAACGTTTGGGCAAAAGGATCTCTGTACTTCCCACGGTGCATGCAGCCAGGCTGCAGATGAAAATGATAACAATTTATTTTGAAATTTGCTCTTTAATTCTGATGGATTTTCTAAGCAAATGATTCTGAATCTAACAGCTGCTGGGCGAGCAGTACGCACCAGGATAAATCAATCCTTCTGCTACCTCCAGAGTGGTGAATAATACGTCTCAGTTAGTGCAGTAAAGATTCCTGTGTTCAAGATACAGAGCACCAGGCACAACTTGCATGTGACTGCAAATATTCAAATGAAGTGTAGGGATCTGGCAGAGACTGAGTAATAAATCATGCGGCCGGCAAGGGCCTTCCCATTTGCGTGGATTTCTGTGGAGTTGAAAGGAAAAAAGAAACAAACGAGGGGCCAGTGTGACACAAAAGCCATCCCAGGATGTCTGTTACTGTTTGTGACCTGGCCTGGTCTTGCAAAAATTTAAATACAGGTTAATGTGGTCACTGACTAGAGAACAGCTTGATGAAAAGCAGGTCACACAATGGAAATGCTCGTTAAACTAAAGGGAAAGTCTACATGACACAGGGAAGCGTTTGTTTGTTTACTTACCTTCCTTTGAAATCCCTCCAGATGTAATACTAAGGATTTTAAAAACTATATATAGCTATTCCTAGAAGGCCCGCTGCCTATGAAAAGAAGTGTTCTGTTTTAGAAAATCCTATGCTTTTACCCCTTCTCTGCCAGCTCTTCTGTTATTTATCAGAGGATGAGTTGAAGGATCTCTGTTTCCCATCTAACGGTTTTGATGCAAAAGGAAAAAGTATAGGAATCTGGAAGGTAAATGACAAATCATTTTATGGATTTCAAGCCTTTGGACATCTTCGCAAGATTGATCCAGATGACTGTAAACTTGTGAAATACAGTGCAATACAGTTAGATGTGAAAACATGAATCGTCGTTCTATTGGAAGCCTATTATTCCAAGATCTGGGTGTTTAAAGCGGTCTATGTGGCTTTGGTGGCTCTGCCTTTCTGGCTCCTTCTTCACACTGACTGGGTAATGGTGAAATGCATCCTCTTGGGGATGTAATGCACTTTTGTTGTGGCAGCAAGGGGAAGACTTGAAAAGGCTCCCGGCCTCTAACAAGAAGTCGTGAATCCCCATCTTACATTCCATGCCACTTCAATCAGATTGCTTCAGGCAAGCATCCAGGTCCAAAAGTTAGACCTAGCACATGGCGCCCCTTCCCCATCCATCATAAATATAGAATCAAAACAAATCCATCGCATCTATTAACAAAACAATATAAAGCACATCCTGAGGCAACGGTAAGTTAGTGTCACCTTTGTGCATTTAACTCTGTGAGCTTGTGCTCAGGACCTGTCGCTTGCTGAAGAATATGCAAGCTTCCTGGTGCACGTGAACAGTCGGTATTGGAAAGTTGTAGACACCATGTGTTAACCTAGATTTGGTCTGCATTGGCAGGCTGCTGGCTCACCCAGAAATTCTAGCTGTAGTTCTTTCCGCTGAATGTTTTAGTTTCTAAGTTGTACTACCATGGCCTTGCGGAAATCATTCACTGCATCTTAGTTCCCGCATTTATAAAAGAAAAAGCTTGGATTTCCAAGATTTAAATGGTATGCTAAGGATTTTATAGCAAACCTTTACACAGATTGAAACTTGTTTAGCCAACTGTGATTGCTGTCAGGAAATATTCACTTCACGATGACTCTGTCACCTGCCGGGCCCAAGTCTAGTCCATAGGAAACGCTCACAAATACTTTGCCCCTAAAAGTTCTGGTAGTATAGGTGACTGGCAATGCAGTCGCTCTCCATCACTGCCACCAGCAATTTCCTCTCAAGTGGGTTAGGCACTGGTCCTCATGGTTGATACCAAGTTGAAGGGGTTCTAAGTGTGCTGAAATCCCACACGTGGAAGTGCCTGCCTCACATTTTTGTATTTCTGAACCACGAAGAGACCTATTTTAACATTCTGGCAAATAGGTAAATCATTTCAGTCTATATTGAAATCACTTCTCCAACCACTGGAAGACATGCATATCTACACTCGAAATATCTCCTTAGTAAAAAGCCATCTACCACAAAGTCTGAAGATTTATATTATAATCATTTTTCTTTTGGGAAGACTTTTGAAGGACATCACCCATTCAGCTAAGAATCACACTTCTATTCCAACTGAAAATAACACCCAACAATTCAAAAGCCATTCAGAGCATATACAGCCAAGCATTTCAGAAAGGTCTCTTAGGTACCCAATTCCTGTTTTTTTTTTGTTTTTTTTTTTTTTGTTTTTTGTTTTTTGTTTTTTAAATTTAAGAGAGAGCAAGAGCAAGCTGGGGAGAGGCAGAGGGAGAGGGAGAAAGAATATCTTAAGCAGGCTCCACATGGAGCCCAATGAGGGGCTCCATCTCACTATCCTGGGATCATGACCTAAGCCAAAATCAAGAGTTGGAGGTTTAACCAACTGAGCCACCCAGGGGCCCCTGGACCTAATTCTATATTTGTGCAAGAATGTATACTCTGTGCATTGCTTAGTATTTATTAATTGGTCTCACTGTCGTTTCTCATGTTCTCTGAGAGTGTAACATTCAGCCATCTAGAGGGATACAAGAAAAGGGTACAAAATAAATGTGAATTATAAAGCTGATGATTACAGAGATGTTAACTGAGGACTAGACCTCCCTTTTCCGTATTTAAATTAAATAATCTTCACAAGAATAGGACAGTGTAATTCCTTCCCCCACAGGGGTGCAATGAAGTAATCTGATGTGACAGATGGCCACACCATAATCCACCCTAATTAGCATTCATTAGCATACCAGGTTGTAGCTTGCTCAGGCGCTGAACCCGAGGTATGGCACAGAAACGGTGTCTCAACTAACCTCCTCCAGAAAAAAAGCATCTCTTCACCTTGGTGGGGGAACTTGGTAGGAAAAAGATACCTTGATGATGGATGCCAAATCCTGCTCCATGGGCAGAAAGGTTTCAGGCTCAGGCTGAGCCAACCTGCAGAGAGGCAGGACTCCTTAAGAGAAACTGAGTGGCAAGGGACACTGATGACTGTGAACTTCAGGAGACCTGAAGGCCCCCAGAGACGGGAGAGGATTTAGAAGGGACTGGGGGAAAGTATTGTTTTCAGCTTTGTCCTTGAAGAAAAGCCATTCCCTGCTATTGAGGGGAGAAATCTTGGTTGTGTATCATTTTAGAGTGTCTACGTTGTTTTTGCTGTTAGTGTGAAAAGCCTTGGAGCCGGGCTGAAAAGAAACCAGTAGAAAGAAAAGAAGGGAAACGGTGCATACCACCTGTTTTCCTGGGAGGATAGAAAGCGTCAAAAGGAAATACATGTAAGGTGCTTTGGGCATAATAAATATATGTGTTTTTTTTTAAGCACTGCCTTTCAGGGTGCTGTTGAAAAAACACTTTCCTCTCCCACGGCTGTGTGATCATCAGTTTAAGGGAAATTGCTTCCACCAGCTGATGATGCTCAAATCCATATCTCTAATTTCAGATCCCTCTTTAGAGCTTGGCACCCGTATATCTAGGAGTTTATAGGGCACTCACTCATATAGGCATGCTGTAGCATTTCTTAGGGGGTGCCTTGTGGCAGGAAGCGTGTGGGGAGAAATCCAGTTTATTGCTTAGCTTGGAAGGCAGAAAACTAAAAAGAAGCTCTGATACAGTCCGGGGTCAGAGAACAGACTATTGGGGAGCATTTAGCAAGAGCCTCCCCTGCCTGAGGTCATGGTGGCCACTGGGGAAATGACACTGAAGCCAAGATCTGAGGTATGAGGGGGGATCACCCCAGGAAAGCTCAGAGAGGGGAGGCCACAACGGTGGGAAATGGGTAGGGGCCACAGCCTCTGCCAATTCCTGGAAGGGATAGACGTTATGCAGGCATTTGAAAGAACCATGGTGTTAGCTAACATCATCCTCAATGGGGAAAAACTGAGAGCTTTTTCCCTGAGATCAGGAACACGACAGGGATGTCCACTCTTCCCGCTGTTGT